CATTTTTATACTTGATCTTGACACTTCCATGTGTCACGACATTTGTTATGTGTTAGTCCTTCTTATATCCCTTTAGAGACTCATTCACTGATTATTTCATGCTCATTCCTCGAGCACTTTGTTTAGAGTTCCACTCTTGCTCTCAACTTTTCAACTTGAAGTTTTTAGTTCAAATGTGTTACACTCGTTTAGCTTACACTTTAACCACTACCACATGGCACCCTCTCAGCTCCATTTTGGGGCTTAGAGATTTGTCTCATAGTAAAGTGCTAGATTAGCTATGGGAAGTTGGTTTAAAGCTGAAGCAATCAAAGTGCATATTTAGGTCCAAAGACACAACTTATCTTGGGTATCATATTTCTTGTGAAGGTTTGTAAATTGATTTTGACAAATTTATAGCTATTCTTAAATTCTGTACTCTAAAGTGTGTGAATGATATGCAACACTTCTTAAAAAAAGTGCAATATCTCAGCTATTTAATTTATCATCCTTTTTTTATCATACTATACCATTGCGAGCATTGTTGAAGTTGTCAATATCATTTTTCACCTAGTCCATAGATTGTAGGCCAGCGTTTACATATCTCAAAGAGTTGTTGACAACTTCTTTAGTTTTGGTATATCTTGACTACATTTGACCTTTCATTTTATGTGTGGATGTTTTTGATATCAATCTTGGAGGTGTATTGATGCAAGAAAGTTCAATTGTGCTTGGTCAGCACCATCCCATTGCATACATCAACTGTACATTACAATTGGCAAAGGTGAATTACTCCATGACAAAGAAAGAGTGTTTAACAACAGTTTGGGGTTTTGAGAAATTTCATGGCTATCTATATAGTTCTCAAACATTACTAAAAGGTGATTATGCTATAGTTACTTCATTATTGAAACAAAAGATTTTGGTTAGTCATACTACTCAGTAGACTTTGAAGCTTTATGTAAGCTTTTGAGTTTGGACTTCCTGGGAGGTTATTTAGCCCAATACTATTCAAACCCAAAGATGTTTAACCCTAAATATCCTAAGACTCTTAACAAATTGGAAAAGGGGTGCATTTTTATTCATGGGCCCTTTCCCTCTATATTTGAACTGACTGTTTCTCGAGATATTCTTTTTGGTCGATTACAATTCACTATGCTTCCTTACAAGTTTATACCCTCGTGAATGGAAGTTAAGAGCTACAACTCTCCTAAGAGCCTCACTTTTTTGACATTCTACCCCTCGGGTCAAGCTCAGCCAAAAGCAAATTAGACCTACCAAATGTTAATCTCAATATATGGTATGATTCCCTAAGCCAACTAACAAAGTTAAACTTAAGACCTACTCCAATACAAAATATGAGCTTTTGAGTTTGGATTTCCTAGGAAGTCACCCAATCCAATACTATTCAAACCCAAGAACATTTAACCCTAAGTATCCCAACACCTTTAACTAAGGGTGCACTCTTATTCATTGGCCATTTCCCTCTATATTTAAACCCTTATGGATTATTTCTTAAGTTGTTCTCCTTGATTGCTTACACTTAAGATATATGATTTCGATGTTAATTTCCTGAGGAGTTTTATAGCTAATACTAATGCCCTTTTCTCGAGTTCCTTTTCCTTCTTTGCTCTCTTATCATGTTTCTAATAAATCTATTATTCTAGTATTTATGGATTTTTTAGATGAGGATTCTATGCTGTCAATAGTTGCTATACTTGATGTTTAGTGTCCTTAAGGTGTGGAGCAAGATTTACCTTCTTTCAATGAGGTTTGTGAAACTCAATATGTTGAGCCATGGATTTAAATGTTTCGCAATAGGTTTGAGAATGTTGTATCACTTGCTAATAACTTGCCATTTTGGCATTTACATTTTCAATATTGTTTTAAGGATGACCTTCTTTATTTTGTAGAGATAAATCCTAATGATCATTTATAGCTGATGGTGCTTTCGATTTTTATTCCATATTTTCTCCTTACCTACCATAATTCTCCTATTCTATGGGAGTATATGGGACATTGTCATGTGACTGGGAAGCTAAACAGGTACTTTTATTGGCCGGAGATGCAATATAATATTATTTAGTATGTGAATTGCATTTAGTGCCAAGCTCATAATACTCCCTCTCGTGCTATGAAAGGATGGTTGGAGTCAATTTTAAATTCCTATCCATTTGACTTAGTGGCGTTTGATATAATAGGGCCTTTTCCATAGTCAACTACTAGCAATGAGTATATTATTATTGCTTTTGATTACTTGATTTGTTAGGTGGAAGTTAGAGCTCTTGCTAATGCATCTGCAACTGCTGTTAGATACTTTCTCTTCAATTGAGTAGTGTTCTAATATTCCTATCCAAAATGAATTCTTTTGGATAATGGTCCTATATTTATGCCTAAGGCATTTCACGTCTTAATATCTTAGTTTGGGATATGCCATACCTTCACAAGTGCTATATCATCCATAGTCAAATGGTTTGGTAGAACAATTTATTTGGACATTCAAAGGGGTGATTGCGAAGTACGTGAACTTTTAGCATTTAAATTAAAATGGTTATTTGCCATCTTTTCGGTATATGTATGTCATATGGGTGTAGAGTTATATTGATGTTTCACCATATAAATGTCTATATGGTCATAATCTGATATTACCAATAGAATTAAGTTTGCATTCGCAATTACCACAAGTTGTTGATGTTAAGTTTTGGGATTAGTATTTGACAAGCATTCTTCCACTAGTCTGAGTAGAGTTTGTTGAACACTTGGGCCATATACAAGTGGGACAACAACAATGTTATAATTTCCACCATTATCTATATATAGAGTACAAAGTGGATGACTTAGTGTTAGTCCATTTTCCCAATCTTACAAAATATGGTTTGTTTAAAGGCCTTCTTGTTTAGTGAAAAGGATTATATTAAGTGTTGTAGCAAGTTGAATTGCAAGTTTATGAGGTTCAATAAATAGGTCGATCCTTTAGAAATTGTATATGTGCAATAGTTAAAACACTTCGTACAAAGGGATCAAGAATAATTGGCACCACTTATAGATCCACTGATGCCTCCTCTTAATGTTCTTCCAAATCACAACTCGTCCATTAGAGAACCTTGACTGTCTTCTATTATTCTAAGAGGGGATGATGTGAGGTTCAAGTGTACGGTTACAATGTCATATACTAATATTAATATAGTGGGATTTTGATAGCTGTCAAATTAATTTCAATCCAAACCACTCGCTTCTATATATAAATTAGGGTTTTTGGGCTAATTAATATGCACATTTCTGTATTCCATTTCCATATTCTATGTACTCACAACTTAATAAAAAATGAAAAAAAGGAAATGTGTGTATGTAATACAAGACTCCTTCCAACATTTGCATCTCCTCTTTTCTTTTTGGATTTTAAAATATTAGAGACATGGCGTAATTATATTTGCTTGAGCTACCACTAATTTAGTGTCACTTAGATGTTTGATATGGCTGCAGAAATAAGATTATCATGATGTTCTAGCCTACCATCACTTAAAGAAATTAAACTTTTGCGTTCCTTTGATTTTTGGACTACAAAGCTTTGGATTTTTGCTTTATTCCCACCAAGCTACTAAAACATTATATTAGATAGGGCTAGAGTTCCAACTTTTAACTTATTTGTAGATTTATTAATTAATCTAACCAATGGGGACTACCATGCCACTAATACAGCCCAGATCATGAGGATGTATTTAATTTTTGAAAGAATTAATCACCAAGATCTCCAAGAATGAGGGAAAGAAGCCAATTAGAGTAAAAAAAAAGTGTTACACCAATTTCAACAAATCCCATGACTTAGTCATGTTAATGGCTATATCTCATGAGGAATTTAGAGCTAGAAGACTAAGTAAGTAAAGTGTAAGATAGATTATAATCAAAATTTGTGGCAATAACTTTTAGGAATAATACTTAAAATAATCTATACAAAAACTAAGAAAGAATAGAATAGACTAGGTCATATTATGCAAATCTTGTGCTCATATTCAAGAACTACCTGAATTAGTGAAATCCTTGGATACATTTACAATCTATCCTTATAAAATATATGAGTCTACGCAACTGATTGTTAGTACAGTTTTTCATGTTTGGCATTCTTATACATATCATCAATATGATAAAGGACTACTATAACTTGGGCATCAGATGAAAGAAATATATCAAGCACAAATGAATAAAGGTCCACATGATACATAGTAGATCTTTAAAAAGCAGACATCAAAAAGGAAAAAGCTGATACGGTAGAATCTTTAACAAATAATGTAGCTTAGAGCTTCCATGCTTTGATTGGAAGAATTCATAAAAATGATTGGTTTTCCTTAAAAATAAATAGCCAACCACAGAAATGAGTGATATATGCTTTGATATTCTAGGATATTCTATGTTATTCATTAGATTAATCTTGTATTTATAATTTATAAACTTTCTTAAAACACCTTTTAGTATAGTTTAATTTATTCTATCATTTAATGGTTGATATGTGCAATAAATTGAGTTTTTAATATTATCACAATCCTCAGTTCAATGTTTTAGGTTAGACTATGAACAGAAACTCTAGCATTCATTTTATTCAATCCTGCAAAAGCCTTTATGAAGCAAGAGAGATTTACCTGAATCTTAAAAGGAATCATCCACTTGCTGACTCAGCAACAAGCTCATGGAGATGTTTGGCAAATATAGAAGCCCACAAGAGGCACGCCAAATCTTTGATACCATCAAACACAAAGACTCCTTTTCACGGGCTTTCACATTACGAGCTTATGCCCAAAACTCCCATCTTAAACATGCAAAAGAGATCTTTGACAAAATGCCGCAAAAGGATGTCCTTGCATGGACATCCATGCTCTTGGCATATGCCCGGAGTGGGCATGTTCTCAATGCCCAAAAAACATTTGATGAGATGCCGCAACACAGCCTTGGAATTCTCATGGAATGCCATCCTGTCAGTCCACGCACACAGCTGGGATCTAAAATATGCTGAAAGGATTATCTTCGGGATGCCCGAGTGTGATCTCGTGTCTTGGAATTCCATTCTTGCGGCATACGCCCAGAACGGGCATGTAGAGGGAGCGAAACGTGTTTTCGATTCTATGGAGGCTCGTGACCTTGTGTCATGGACGACAATCTTGGTTGCCTTGTCGCAGGGCGGAGATTTGCACGGAGCAAAACTTTTGTTTGATGCAATGCCGCAGCACGACCTCGTCGCCTGGACCGCGGTTCTTGGCGTGTACGCACTGAACGAGGATGTCGATTCGGCACAGAGGATTTTCCGCGAGATGCCTGAGATAGATCTCGTTTCGTGCAACACCGTGATGCGATGCTGCCGTGATGCTAGACCATCAAAGCTTATATTTGACTCCATGCCACAGAGAGCTCTCTCGTCGTGGACAACAATGCTCGCTGTTCTTGCCAAGAACAGCCCCGGGGAGGAAACCAAGAGCTTTTTCTATCAAATGCCGGAGCTTGATCTTACTTCCTGTACGATAATGTTGCTCTCACAACCCTCAGACTTGGAGCTTGTGAAGGCCACCTTTGATCAAATGCCGCAGCGAGACCTGTGCTCTTGGAACTCTGTTCTTTCGGCGTATGCCCAATCAGGGCATTGTGACTTTGCTTTAAGACTCTTTAACGAGATGCCCGAAATGGATATGGTTTCGTGGAACACAATGTTAAATGCGTTTTTTCTGCATTTTCCCGAGAAGGCCATATTGTATACGCAAGGAAACTTTTTGATTCAGCCCCTGACAGAGACCAAATCTTGTGGAGCTCCATGATAGCTTCATATGCACAAGTAAGCACCACTGCCAGCAAGGCCTTTCATCTCTTCAACGAAATGCAGGCCGTCGATTCCCCAAACACATCGTGCTTCGCATCCATCCTGGCCGCAAACAGCCACAAAGGCAGCTTTCAAGCGGGAAAGAGCTTCTTCGCTTCCATGGTTGTGGATCACGCCATTGAGCCCACAAGGCAGCACTCCAGTTGCATGGTAGATCTCTTGAGCCGAGCCGGCCACCTTCACGACGCCAAAGATCTAATCTTAAGCATGCCGTTCGTTCCCAGTGCTCTCGAGTGGACGTGCCTTCGCGGAGCATGCAAGAGCCACGAGGATTATAACAATCTTAGACTGGGAGACGATGTAGTGAGGTCTGTAATGGACGTAACCGACGCAACCCCCACTGCTTTACTAGCAAACGTCTACACAAGCTCCCAAACAAAAAATCCACACTATATGTGAAATCTAAGGACTTAGTCATTTTAATCACCTCCGCCACCGCCACCTCCTCCGCCACAGCCCCCACCGCCACAGCCTCCTCCACCATGACCACCACCAGAGCCTCCACTGTGGCCTCCACCATGGTGGCCACCGCTAAACATTGCTCCCACGAAATTGGAGCGCCTTCTTGGCTTTCGCCTTTTTGGAGATGCAAAGAAACTGAAACACATTTTGGATTGATTGCTTGCAAGGGGGCATATTGTATACAAGGCTAGAAAGCAATTTGAGACTTTGACTCAGAGGAAGCCACGAAGGAAGCAATGATAGCACGTGGACCTGGAGAAGTTTATGCAATCAGTGCCACGTCGTGACACTTCATCAGAGTGTTCAAGAAACGCAAGACGTAACACTACAAACGTGCATTTGTCTATCCAATCTTTGAGGAATACGTGCATAAAATCTCGTCAAATTGCGCGTGAAGGAAGTTGCTTTGCTTGCTCCATATGGTCAGGCCTTGTGGCCAATTAGATGTTCTCCTGCCTAGTATATAAGCGCAAGCCTCCTCACATCGATCATACCTTTATCTTGCGCAATCCAAGATGTGTTTCGGTTTCTCTCAATCCTCTAACAGGCGAAAGCAGAGGCGAAGGCGCCCGTATGCAGCAACGGGCGCCTTCATTGGGGATGCCGGCAGTGGTGGCGGAGCTTGTGCTGGCACTGGTGGCGGCGGAGGCTGTGGTGGCGGTGGCGGCGGTGGTGGTGGTGGTGGCTGCGGAGGAGGCGGCGGCGGTGGAGGCTGCTAAATACTCTGTATGAGAAATAGCCATGCATATGAATGTTTGTAAATATGCATATTCCAAAACTTCCTCAAATAATACGTACAGTTTGTTTGTATTGAACTTTGTTTTTTTCCAGCCAAGGATTGACCTGGGCACGATCTTAGCACTGTTTTGGAACTAGTAAGTAGAATCTCGTAGAATCTATTCAGCAATTCTATGTACTTCAGGTACTATAGTGATTCAAGTAAAATCCAAAAAAAAGGGAAACATCCACTTACAATACAACGTTTTGAGCGCTCTTCTCTTGTCTTCTCTCGAGTAAAAGCTTTGATTCTTCTAGCTCTCTCTCGCCTCCTGTTTTCTTACGATTCGCGTCGGGTTCTCCTTTGGCGGGCGCCCTCGCCTTCCTTCTCAATCTCGTTGCCTGTCGCGTCGTCCTCCGCCTTGTCCTTGGAATCGTCCGGGCTGGAGATGTCTTCCTTCTTGGACTTCTCTACGGTCACCTGCGCAAGACAAACAACCGTGACAATCCAAAACTCGCGCAACGCTATTGATAATTGTACCTTCGTCTTCTTTGGGGGCGATTTCTTGCCACCAAATAGAATCTTAAACAGCGTGACCACCACGACGAGCGGGATCAAAGCTATGGCGCTCAAAGAAATGGTTGGGAACTTCTCGGCCTTCTCCAGAAGATCCTGTGTGTCACAAACGAAAAGAAAGTTAGAACACGAGACAAAGCCCATGCTCGCGTGTTTTACTTACAAGAATCTTTTCCTTCTGTGACGCCAAAGCCGGGATGTCGGCAACCTTGCGCAGGTACTCAAACATCTTTGCCTGAAAAGATTCAAGGTCGTCACACACAAAGAAAAAAAAACGACAAAAGACAGACAAAGGAAAAGTACCTGGATGCCGTCAGGACTCGGAGTCGCTTCTTCAATCTTTTGCTTCTCCTTCTCAGCCTCGTACTTGGGCTTCCATTTCGTCTCCCTGTACTCTGCTGCCACAGCCTCGTCGGTCGCCACCAGGATGTTGTCAAAAAGAATGCCGTCCTGCATCGTCCAGATCTCGATCCCTATCGCCGAGATCGGCTCTAGATCCGGCCTGTCCAACTCGAAGTACTCCGGGTTCGGTATTTGCTTCGGAGCCCAGATCCCCTTGTAAGCCGGGTTGTCGATCATCGGAGGATACCACTTCCCCTTGTAGTCCGGGTTCCTCTTCATGGGCCTCTTCCATTCTCCACACCCAGACGCTTCCTCACACTTTGGGTTGCTGATCTTCGGGGGCTCCCACTCGCCATCCTCCTCGTCGTCCCAGTCCGCGGGCTTGCTAGCTTCCGGATCGTCAACCTCGTCCGGCTCGTTGTCCAGCCAGTCATCGGGCTTGACCGCCTCCACGTCCTCGATCTCCAGTGGAGCGTCCTCGTCCCAATCCTCGGGCTTGGTCGCTTCCGGATCGGGGATCTTCGCCCGCTCGTCCCAGTCCTCGGGCTTCTTGTCGTCGGGATCGGGGATGGTCTTGGGCGGGATCACGGCCGGCTCGAAGTCGCTCGAGAGGAGGTCGACGCTCTTCTCCTCCTTGCCGTCGACGAGGATCTTGAGCGTGTTGTTCGGGTAGATCACTGCCGTGTAGACGTGAGAGAGCTTGTCAGCCACTGGCGATGGCGGGTACTTGAGGTGATGCTCGATGTGCTTGTCGGATTTGGGGCCCTTGTGCTTGTAGATGAAGTGGACCTTGTTGGTGGCGCCGCATTTGTCCGGCCCAAACATGATCGAGTAGGGCGACTCGTTGCTGAAATCGCCGGGCGTCCATCCAGCCTCTTGCGGGAGGAGGAACTTGAGATAGGCGCCGCCACACTCCAACCCCTTCTGGAGCCGGACATCGTACTGGAGAACCACGACGTCGTCCTTGAGATCTACCGATTTGGGCAGAGTAGCCGCGATTCCGTGCTTCTTGGCCGGCTCGCTCACAAGAAGGCCGTAATCCTCGTGACCCTCGCTCTTCTCGTGCTTCCAGTGGCCTGCCAAGAAAATCGGCGCCGATGAGAATTTCTAGCCACGGAATTTCGCGATCAAGAACAGACCTTGATAATCGCTGTGGCCAGAAACGGTCCATCGACTCTCCCAAGAACCATCGAAAGGCTCGTAGAACACCTACATTCGATCGATCGATCCAATCCAGACCTAGAAAGAAAAAGAATCAAGCGCGCTTACCACATCGGCAGCTACCGCGGCGGCCCCAATCGCCAGCAATCCGAGGAACAGCAGCGCCTTGGCCATGACCGCGCCGGGACTAGAAACCCTAAACACTCCTCCAAAGAATGCGCTATAAAGAGTGACTGGGTTTTAGTTTAGGCAGCCAATGGGAGCGCTCCGATTTCCTTTGGCGCGTGTAGCAGCGAATGGCACGGCGCCACGTCGGACGCCTTGACGTGGCTTTCTCCGGGAGGAAGGCATATTCGCGGAACAACTCCAAAATGCGATGAAAATATATTTGTGAGTTGGCAGGACGTTCTAGAATTGATGTTTGTGGACCAATTACAAATACAAGCTTTAGAAATACAGACTATGATCTCTCCAGATAGAAACTATAGGGACATGATCTCCAGAGCGTCCCTTGTTCTTCCCATAATGTCTAGAGCGGTCGCAGCAATGTGAGCTGCTGTTAATCCAGCCTCGGTCATTTGATCGTTTGGAGAACCATGGTCGATGTATCGATCGGGAAGAACCAATGGTCGCCACTGCAATCGATCGAAAGAGAGAGTGATATGAGCACAAACTTTACGTCCAAAAGAAAGAACTTGAAAAATTTGCCTTCAAAGTTCCGTCGAGAAGTCCATCCAGAGCCATGAACTGTGCTACGTGAGAGCCAAATCCTCCGATTGATCCTTCCTCCACCGTGATAAGTACCTCGTGTTCTCTCGCAAGCTGCCGGATCAAGTCGCGGTCCAGTGGCTTGCAAAACCTCGCGTCTGCGACCGTGGCCGGGAGTCCACAGCTCGCTAGAAGAGCTTGAGCGGCGAGACACGACTGTACCATCGTTCCATAGCCCAGCAGCGCGACTTTAGATCCTTCGACTAGAATCCTCCCCTTGCCAACCTGTGTGAGGAGTATAGCTTTGAAAATGGAAAACAAAAAACTCGACAGGTTTCTTACCTCGAGAGGTATGCCTTTGTTTCCTGGTGGAAGCACCACCCCGATACCATTTCCTCTGGGATAACGAAAGCAGCTTGGACGATCATCAATAGCAGCGGCGGTGGCGACCATATGGAAAAGTTCGGCTTCGTCCGACGGCGCCATGACCACCATGTTTGGCAGGCAAGCCATGTAAGTTACGTCAAATGCTCCACAATGTGTCGGACCGTCGGCTCCAACTAGACCCGCTCTGTCCATGGCAAATCTCACGGGTAGCTTTTGGAGATCAACGTCGTGAACAACCTGAGACAAAGCCGCATCATAAACAAGAAAACATCTGTGGCAAGAAAGAGCTCCTACCTGGTCGTAAGCTCGCTGGAGAAAGGATGAATAGATAGCACAGAATGGCTTTAGGCCTTCGCAGGCAAGCCCCGCAGCGAAAGTCACGGCATGCTGCTCGGCAATACCGACGTCGAAACATCTATCTGGGAAACGTTTCTGGAACATATTGAGGCCCGTTCCTCCACCCATAGCCGCGTGTATGGCAATGATCCCATTGTCGACTTCAGCTTCGGCAATCAGGGCCTCTGCAAAGTACGTGGTATAAGCTTGCGTTGCAGTCTTTCCTTTGAATTGCTTCCCAGTTGCCGGATCGAATTTAACAACACCTGATCAGAAACAAGGAGAGTGTCAAACTCAAGTATTTTGGAGGAGATTCACTTTCCATGGTACTTGTCTGATGCACGCTCGGCATATGGATAGCCACGACCCTTCTCCGTGACAATGTGAATCAATACCGGACCCGTCGTTCGCGTGTTTTTCACCTCCTTGAGAATTGTAACAAGGTCTTCGATGCTGTGGCCATCTACAGGTCCAATGTAGTAAAGTCCCAGCTCCTCGAAAAGAGTAGACCCCGATCCACTTATCATTCCACGCGCATACTCGTCGACCTTTGCTGCGAGTTCATGCATTGGTCCTCCAAGTTGTTTAGTCACTCCCTGTAATATATATACGAACGTTACTTGTGTATGCATTACTAGACGTTAGTACCTTAGCAACTTCACGAAGTTCACGAAGAGGTCTGCTTGACTGTAATTTGCTGAGAGCGCTGCTCAAAGCTCCCACCGGTGGGGCTGGACCGTCCAAAGTCGCCGTTGGCAGAGAAACTTGCTTGTTATCATTTAGAATAACGATCATATTCGAGTCCAAGTAACCAGCGTTGTTCATGGCCTCGTAAGCTTGACCCGCCGTCATTGCCCCGTCACCGATCACGGATATCACATGATTCTTGTTTCCCATCAAATCTCGGGCCACAGCCATGCCTGTGACATCAAAGTTTTGTCAATCGATCAATATCGAACTACGTGATTGAAGAGAGGTTGCCTACCTAAGCCAGCGGATATACTGGTGGAGCTGTGCCCGGCACCAAAGGAGTCATACTCGCTCTCTGATCGTTTTGTAAATCCAGAAAGTCCATTAGTCTGCCGCAGGGTGTGCATTCTCGATCTTCTTCCTGTAAGAATTTTGTGAGGATAGGCCTACGACCAACACAGGATTAGCGTGACTTTTTTTTCACAGTGAAGCTTGCGGGAGTCGAACTACCTGATGGCCGACGTCCCAAAGAATCTTATCTTCTGGCATGTTGAAAACATGGTGAAGAGCAACAGTGAGCTCAATCACTCCAAGACTCGCTCCAAGATGCCCGCCGGTCTTCGAAACAGTGAAGATGATGTCCGATCGAAGCTCATCTGCCAATTGTCGCAAATCCTGCAAACAAGAGGAATATTGTTTTGTAGTTTTCTAGCATTTGTCATCTCCATACCTTGGTGCTAAGATTTTTCATATGCAAAGGGTAGTTGACAGTGTCGAGCAAAGGCGTGGGAGGCTTCTCCGCGAAATACTCTCCTCCGGGCCCCGTCGACGCTGCTGCTGATGCTGCCACAGCCAAAAACCTCCGAGCCTACACATCCATCACAAGTAAGAGTTGACCTTGGAGCCGGCCAGAATTTGGCCTGCATTGCTCGCGGCGAGGAGATCCTGTCGAAATTTCGATCACGTACCTTGACAGAAGCGGGCTTGACGCCCCTGCGCTGGAGATTTGTGTGAGCTTGAGGCAGTAGGTATCCGGATTCCGTCGGCCGGGCCACAAGGCGGCTGCTGTTGGCGCTGCTCGTGCTACATTCCGCTCCTCCTAGCGCCATAGCTGCTGCTGAGGGTGCCATAGCCGCGCGCGCGATGCGCCAAAACCCTCGCCTTCACGGATGCGCCAAAACCCTAGTTGGATTGCATGGAGATCCCGGAAAGAGTCAGTGGAACACCATGCTCTCAGCCACTCACTTTTAAGCACATTCTTATTTGCCAATTGAAAAGACAAAGATATGGTTGGACACTTGGCAAATTCTGAAGAATCCTATGTATTCATTGTATATATCAAAGATTTTAACAATGCTGGAGTAGCTCAGTTGGTCAGAGCGTGTGGCTGTTAACCACAAGGTCGGAGGTTCGAGCCCTCCTTCTAGCGAGAATATACATTTTGGTATTTGAATTTTTTATTTTCTTTTTGCGCGCCAATGATTTAAATGTTTGAATTCAAACCGATAAACCCTAATGCTTTGCAATGCTCGTTTCCTCGTGGTGCGCCCACCTCCGGCCTGCGGGGAGCGCCATCAGTTCCAGGAGTGGGACGATGAGCTCGATCCATCGGTCTACGCACAGCTCGTCAAAGCTTGCGGCAATGCCAGGGATCTCCAAGGCGGAAGGCGCATTCACGAAGAGATTCTCCACAATGGCCGCTGCTCCACCGATCGCTACCTCGCCAATCTGCTCGTGGAGATGTATGGAAAGTGTGGCAGCGGCGAGAACGCTCGCAGGGTTTTCGAGAGCATTCGCCAGCCCAACCAGTTCTCGTGGAATCTGATAGTGGCGGCCCTGGCCAGGAGCGGGAATGTGAGAGACGCGAGGGCCATGTTTGATCGGATGCCCGTCCGCGATGCTGTTTCGTGGGGGACAATGATCACTGCCTACGCCGACAGTGGCGACGTCTTGGAAGCTAGAAATCTCTTCGCCAAGATGCCGGATCCAAATGCCTGGGCTTGGTCCGCAATGATCTCAGCATATGCCCAAAACGGGCATCTGGTTGAAGCAAGAAAGTGTTTCGATTCTATGCCCGAGCCAGAAGCTGTATCGTGGAACACAATGATCCATGCCTACAATCAGCACGGGGAATTCAATCAGGCTAGAAAGTTGTTTGAGAGAATGGAAATCAAGAACTCGGTTTCGTGGAACACGATGATCACTGCTTACGCCCAGAATGGGTATATCTACGACGCGAGGATCTTGTTTGAGAGGATGCCTGGGAAGGAGGTCTCGTCCTGGAACGCGATGCTTGCAGCGTACGCGCAGATCTTTTACACGAACGAAGTGAAGGATTTGTTCGATCGAATGCCGCACAGAAATTTGATCTCGTGGAACACTCTGATCGGAGCGTATGCTGATAGAGGTGACTTTGAGGCTGCAAAGGTGGTGTTTGAAAGCGCGGCTGTGAGGGACGTTGTCTCGTGGACCGCGATCCTCAAAGCTTTTGTTCACACGAGAGAGGTTGAGCAAGCAAAAGAGCTCTTTGATCGAATGCCCGAGAAGAACCTCGTTTCCTACACGACCATGCTTGTGATCTTTGCGAAGAATAGCTGCCTGGATCGAGCAAAGGGGCTGTTTGATCGAATGCCGCAGTACGATTCTATCTCCTGGGGGGCGATGATCGAGGCGTACTCTGAGAATGGATTTGTGGCAGTCGCGAGAGAGATGCTCGATCGAATGCCTCACCAGGACGTTCTAGCTGTCAACATCGTGATTGCGGCTTATGTGCACGCTGGGCATATGGAGGAGGCCAAGAGCTTATTCGACCTTATGAAAGAACGAGACTCTACCACTTTAAACGCTATGGTTTATGGATATGCCCAGCTCGGGCATATAGATCTTTCACGGCATCTTTTTGATTCTCACCCGGACAAAGACACCACCTCCTGGAACACGATGCTGGCGGCTTGCTGTAGGTGCTGGCTTTTCGAGGAGATGGTGGAGACCTTCTGGAGGATTCCGGAAAGGAATGTGGTGTCGTGGACGGTGGCGATACAGTCCCACGTCTTGAGAAACCAGCTGAGGCTTGCAAAGGCGGTTTTTGAGAGGATGCCCGAGCAGGACGTAGTGTCGTGGAATGCTTTGCTCCATGCTTTTGCTCGAGAAGAAAACGGGAACTTCTCCATGAATCTCTTTCGGGAGATGGTCGTGGAGGGATTCAAGCCGGACGAGACGACGCTGCTGGGAGTTTTGGTGTCGTGCAACCACGATGGCCTCCTCGAGAGAACCAAGTCGAGCTTCTCGAGCTTTAGATCCGACTTTGGCCTCGACTGCCCCAGGCAAGAGCTCTTCGACTGTCTGCTCGACAACTTTGGACGATCCGGACAGCTCCGAGAGGCCGAGGATCTCCTCCGGTGGATGCCGTTCTCTCCCAGCGTCGCGTCCAGCACCTCGTTCCTGCGCGCATGCAAAGTTCACGGAGATCCAGAGCGAGCAGCCAGATTCTCGCAGCACTTGAGCGACTTGAAAGGAGGACAAGCTCACGGTTCTTACGTCCTTCTCTCGGACAGCTTGAAAACCATGACGACGTAGAGTAGATCTTCGTCTCGGGAAGTTATACGTCACTAGTGAAGGACCCCTTCCGATGGAGCTATATAACTCTTTCGTTCGATCGAAGGGTGATGTCAGCTAGAACAGGAAGGAAAGGAACAGGGGAGCTGTGACGCAAAACTCCACTAGGCTGCTCCACTTTTCTTGCGGCTAAAGGGAATCAATCATCGCCATTTCTACACACAGCGAGGGGGGAATATCTCCAGAGGCCACTTAGAACTGTATCTGCTTGGAGGCTACCCTTGTGCTGTCTGACACCAAAGGGCTCATGCACACTTGATGATCCCTGGCTACCTTTGCCAGGACGGGGGTGCTAGGCAGCGGGGAAAGAGAAAAAAGAAAAGATCACGCACGTGAAGAAGATATGGTCATCGAGTCCTGGGACGAATTCGCGAGCTAAGGTGCAAGGAAAAATCGCCCTTTTGCTGCTCCGAGCTGCTGGGTCGAAGAATTTAAGGGCCTCGAGATTTTGAAGCTGGAACTTGCTGCTTGGAAGAGTTCATCGACTTAAGCTTGGAGAAACTGGAAGGAGCCATCACTCATCGACTGGAAAGCTGTGAGAAGATCATATCACTCATTGGTTGGAATCTGAGAAGATCATATCACTCATCGGTTGGAAATCTGTGAGAAGATCATATCCGAAGATCACTGCTGCTGCCGCTGAGATCCCTGGCTGGTGCCGTGAATGCTGGTTATAGCAGAGATTTCTTGCTAGGATATATGGCAAGGCTGATGAAGCTCGTACCGGGGGAGGCGTCGCTGTATGCTTCTATCACACACACGCAAGCCGAGTCTCCAGCCGTGACTCTCACTTACGGTGGCTACATGCCTCTAACTCGAGCTACGAGCACTGGAGCCGTGAGTAGCAGTGAAAGTAATGGACTTAACATCGTCGCGGCGATTTTGGTGACCGCCTCCTCGATGATGATCCTGCTGGCTCTACGTCTCTGGCTTTGCAAGTGCTCTCCTTCGCGGAGCTCTAGCCCCAATTCCTCGTCCTCAACGAGCAGCGATGGCTCCAAGAAGAAGGCCGGGGATGGATTGGACAAGGAGGATATCAACAAGTTTGCACTCGTGGATTTCCAGGCGCTGGCGAGCAGCAAGTACGAGAAGACGTGCACGGTTTGCTTGTGCGAGTTCACCTCCAAGGACGTCGCGATTCGACTCCTGCCGGGTTGCAATCACTCGTTTCATCCGGCTTGCATCGAAATGTGGCTCTTCTCTCACACTTCGTGCCCGATTTGCCGCAAGAGTTTGCTACCCCTGGCTATGGTGGCCAAGAGCTCGAGTTCTTCCATACAAGATCATGCGCAAGAAGAGCACCATCGAGGAGAGGAAGTTGTTTAAAATGCAAGAGAAGAGCTTGCTTGGTCTCGCGGCTTTGTATTACTAGCGTTTCCTTCGATGGTGCTTGAGGAAGTGTGTGTGTGTGTGTATTTTTTTTTCCAAGACGACCAAAGTTGACGGATCACATACGTATCAAATCTCAAAAAGAAATCTCGTTTTGACTAAGTTCTTGGGTATACTTTGCGTGATGGAGGAACAATTGGTTATAGAAAACAAACTTGAGTGCGTGCCACGCGAATCTCTCCACGTACCAAATGATGCAATCCAAAGTTTTGTTTTTCTTTTCTTTCCCAGATATACACGCCTTTCTTTTTCTCTCGCTCCCACCGGATCAAAGATCACGCCACAGTTGTGAATCACAATAGGCGCAAACCTACAAATCTCTCGTCAGAAACGCTGAAGAGATAATAGAGAGAACAATCTAGCTTGTGATCACGCGTGGGTGGCAAATTATTCCATTAGTTATTGGCGTGCAAGTGGCACGACAAGTGTTGTACTTTATGATTCCCGCTTGCTTTTCCAACCCAACCAAACACACACTCACAATTTTTACAGTGATTTTCCAATCGATTTGCTGTTTGCTAGGTAGGAGTTCTCGATATCAACATTCTTTCGAACACCGTTGCTGGGCTGAAGGGGCCCAGACTTTTCCACACAGAGGACGAATCAAAACGTCGTTGGCTGTACCGCAAAGCTGTGGTCTCGTCCGTTTATCATTCATATCAGGGACTCCTCCTATCATTTTGCCACCCTCCCAGACAAATGCTGCTGCTAGATCATGAAAGTAATCGCGAATGGTCAAAAAAAACCCGTGATGGTGTCGTAATGTATAAAGCTTGCCAGAAGGAGAACCACAGTAAAAGTATTTGATGCTAGCGATCATATGCTGGACAATAGCACATATGGGGCCGAATCTTGCGAGTCAAAGCCTCCCACCTTGGCGCTCGTCGGTCGTCCGTGAGTCCTGAAAGCGCTCAGCAGGATCGTGGAGCCGGCGTCCTGTGCTGGGAATGGCATGTCTTTGAGAAGTTCCTGGGCCTTTGCGACGAGCCCCGATCGCCCAAGAGCGTCCATCACGCAGTGGTAGTGGTGGATCCCCGGCGTTATGTTGTGCTCCAAGATCATCGCGGAGAAGTATCGCTTGATTGTCTCCACGGAGCCCAGCCTGCTGCAAGCCGCGAGAACGCTCGAGAATGAGACCTCATCGGGTCTCAAGCCCTCGCACTGCATCTCGCCAAACGTTTCCAGAGCTATTACAAAGTGCCCATTCTGGGCATATGCTTGGATCATTGCATTCCATGACACCGTGTTTCTCAGAGGCATGGATTGGAAGCATCTGCTAGCAGCACTAAGAATTCCAGACTTACCACACGATGTGACTATAGAATTCCATGTAACCGAGTCTTTCCATCTAAGCTCATCAAACAAACTTTTAGTTTCAGAAACATAGCCTTGCTGGGCATAAGCCGCAATCATAGTGTTCCACGAAACAATGTCGTACTGTGGCATGCAATCAAACAGGCCTTTTGCTTGCTCGAAGTGTCCGTACTCGGCATAGCAACCCACTATGCTTGTCCAAGTTACTAAATCCCGCTCCACCATCTTATCAAACAAAGTGGTACATTCTTGGATATGCCCAAGCCGAGCGTATGCCTGAATTAACGTGTTCCACGCACAAAGATCCGGCTCCTTGATGCCGTCAAAAACCTCCTCTGCTTTTGACAAGCTTCCGTTTTGAGCATATGCCTCCACCATGCACGTCCAAGATACCAGATTCCTCTGCGGCATCTTGTTAAACAGCCGCAAAGCATCCTTTAAGTAACCACGCTGCGCATAAGCGGCGATCATCAAATTCCAAGACGTGAGATCTCTCTCCGGCATTCGGTAGAACACTTCTATTGCGTGATCCAAGCAGCCATTCTTGAGATTCGCAGTTAAAAGTGCGTTCCAAGCAACAACATCGCGGTCGTCCATTCTCTCAAAGAGCCACTGAGATTCTTGCAGATGCCCAGTCTCGGCATACGCCACCAGCATCGTTGTCCACGTCACCACGCTTCTCTCTGGCATCGACTCGAACATGCGACGTGCCTCTACCAAATGCCCGTGCTGTGCGTAGGCCTGCAAGAGAGCGTTCCAAGATACCAGTGTCCTCTCAGGCATATTCGCAAACAAGGAGCTAGACTCCTCAAGATTCCCTGTTGTGGCATATGCCGAAAGCACTGTCGTCCACGTCTGCACGTTCCTTTCAGGCATGCAATTGAAAATCTCCTCAACTTTCTTTATATCCCTTGTCTGCGAATATGCTTTAAGTATGGCATTCCACGTTACTACCTCCCTTTGTGGTACCTTTTGGAACAGTGCCCTTGCTTCTTCAAGATGCCCATTCCTGGCATATGCCTCGATGATGATATTCCAGGAATATAGATTGGGAGACGGCAGGGATTCGAACACGCGTAAGGCGTGATCCAAGCTCCCGCATTTGCCGTACATCTCGATGAGGAGATTGGAGATGTACGTGTTGTGGATCTGCCCTCCTTTGCGAATGCGAGAGTGGAGTCTTTTGGCCTGGGAGAGCTCTTTGGCGTCTCCACACGACTTCACTTTGCGAACCAGTGAGACGAGATCATCGTGTTGGACACTGCGTGATCCATAACTCATGGCATCATGAAACTCCGCAAACTTCCATGTATTTACAAACTTAGCACAAAAACTATAAAAAAAACCCAAACCGTTTGCTAGATGCAAGCTCCAGCGCAGTTTACCAGGTCTCGCAGATGGCTCGACGCCAGATCTTCGTTCCCCTGCGAAAAAGAAGAATTTTTCATGAGCCTGGACCGAGTTTATCATTGACATACCTCCCAGTCGATCGCATGAAGGTTCAACTCATACGTTACCCTTCCAGCAGACGCCTCCATCTCCGCGCGATTGGCGACCATAAACTTCCACTGCGTTTCCTTGCCTCGAATTATGGTCACTCTGCGATGCTCGACGTTGCAAACGCTGAAGCGCTTTGCAAAGGAGTCGCGACCCAGTGGCCAACGCAAACCGCCCTTGACAGTGTCGTCTACAACAGCAGCGCTGGCCAGTGCTTCATAGGCAGCTCTCTCCTCGTCCTGTTTCTAGGAAAACTTAGCTCTCGATCAACAGCAAAGGAAGACTTAACTGGAACGTCGGTAAGCAGCGTCTCAGAGTAGACTGCGATACGCAAGTCCGTTTTGCGTCCTACGCACAGATAATCAGACACAAGATGCCTTAATGGATCAAGCTTGAGCTGCTCAGGTTTCAATGATTATCACCCAGAAATCTGGCGAAAGAGCAATACCTTCTTCAAGACTAGAGAATGCTCGCTTTCATGAGCTCGCTCGCACACACACCTGACAAGGTAACGAGGACGATCAATGTCCTTCACCTGTGAGCAAGCGATCAAGCGCAAGCAAGTCTATGGAAAGTAGTTACCTTGAAGTGGTAGCGTTCGCAAGTGGTGACTTCCACAGCCTCTTGTTGTAGAGCAAGGTGCTCAAACTGGTGGAAAAGTTCTGGCGCTATTGCTGTGTGGAAGGTCCTCCTAAGCCTTGAGGATTCCTCCTCAAGATATCCTGGACTGAAGCTTTGGACCTGTTGGGTATCTTTTCGGAACACAATCGTTCCAAGTCGCAAAACCATCTTGAGCTTGCCTCGTGAATCGTGCACGCTCGAAGCTGCAAGCGACCCTGCCCTGCCTCGCGTCGCTGTCATAACATCCAGAGAGAGGGACTCTATTCCAATGTTCTCAGCCAGAGATCCATTGGTGTTTCCTGGCACCAAAACAGAACTTTGAGTGAGCTATCAAATGATATTCTTCGATCGTACCTGGATGATCGCCGTCGTCCACAACAGTGACAATGTACTGCTGCTTACCATCCAGATGAGCGTAGGTCTCCCCTTGAAAAACCTGGAATTCGAGGCGCGCCTCGCCGGAGAGGACATGAAACTGTAAAATGCAGCTAGCAGCTTCCCTGATCACCGGAAATGGAACGGTGATCCTCCGCCCGCCCAGCGCCTGGGGCGATCGCTTGGCCTCCCCGAGGCGCCTGTGAGGAGGAACGTAAGGCATATTAAACCCTAATAGAGCATCCCTATCTTGGGGCACTTTCAAAATTTCGCGCGCTTTATTGTAATGACGTGACAAATCTTTTAGTCGTCGTCTTTAAATTCCCTGGAATGGCGAGAAGATCATAGATTTAGCACTCAAATTCGCACGAATCGAGAGGGCAGACCTTCGATCCAAGAAACGAGGTTGAATTCCAGTCCCCTGGCAAGTGGTGCAAGTGATCGATCCAGCGCCATCGCAGTTCACGCACTTGGATTTCTCCGACTCGCCGGATCCCAGCGCGATGGCGATGCTACCGCTGCCTACACAGAACCGGCAAGTTTCTTCTCGATGGAATCCATCCACCCAGGGCCATTGATCGAGAGGAATTCTCAGTGATCGCGAATTCAAGGGAGAAATGGATCGAAAAGCTTACGTGATCCTGTTCCACTGCAAGGGAAGCATGGCTGATCGTTTATTCGTTTCTCGGCCCCTTTCACTTGGGTCTCGTAAAAGACCGGGATCCCAATTCCCACAGCGATTCCTGCCAATCCCACGCCCACTGCCAGCAGCTGGAAGCCGAGAAATCGATCCAATTTCGCCGTGGATTCGATGAAGATAGAGCAAATGTGGGTCGAAAATTCCAGAGGAAGAACTTACCGTGTCTTGATCCAATTCCAGCGCCCTTATGGGAGCGAGGATCCTCCGGCGATTCCTTCCAGGAATATTCTTCTTGTGCGCTCTGCTTAGTGACGATGGCAGCGAGAGGGACGCCGGAGTGTAGCTTACAGTCGCCATAGCCGGATTGAGCGCCGGCGGCCAGATCACAGCCACGTGGCCTATGGATTGGCACGATACTTTATGCTGACGTGACGATTTCGCGACCGTCCGATATGGAGCGAATTCAAACTGTGGCTCCGCCACTGAAGAACGAGGACGCGATCAAGGATCGCCGCGAGGAGCTGTGCCTGGAGCTTAAGATCTGCGACAATCTCGAGCGCGGCAAGAGGATCCACTCGATCATCTCCGGCAGCGAGCATCACCGGCGCGACAAGCTCCTGGCCAATTTCCTGATCCACATGTATGGGCGCTGCGGCAGCGTGGAGGGCGCTCGCGCGGTCTTTGATTCCATCCCGGAGCCCAATGTCTTCTCCTGGAACATGATCATCCAGGCGTATGCCCGCAACCGGCATATAGATTCGGCGCGAGCGCTCTTCGAGAGAGCCCCGCAAACCGATGTTCTCACCTGGAATTCCATGATCGCCTCGTATGCCCAGGAGGGAAAACTCACAGAATCGAAGAACCTTTTTGATCGGATGCCCGAGAAGAACGTCGTCTCTTGGAATTCGATCTTACAAGCATATGCCCAAAACCAGCAACTTACCAAAGCTCAGACCATCTTTGAGACAATGCCCGAATGGAACGTTGTTTCGTGGAACACTTTAATCTTAGCATATGCCCAACATGGGCATTTGCATAAAGCTCAGTTCTTGTTTGAAAATCTAGAATTTGCAAACTCAATCTCGTGGAATACTATACTATCGGGATATCTACAAGCTGGAGATTTCACTAAAGCTAAAGAACTGTTTGATCGAATGCCCTTGCCAGATATTGTGTCGTGGAACACTTTGGTATGGGCATTTGCCCAAGCTGGGCTTTTTGGTATAGCTTTTAGTTTGTTTAGGCAGATGCCCGGATGGGATTCTGTGACGTGGACGGCCCTGATTCAAAGTAGCGGCCATTACCAAAACTGGGATGGAATTCGTTACCTGTATGATAGAATGCCAAAGGAAGACATGGCAGTGTGGAATTCGCTATTACTGGCTTATGCCCACAATGGGCATTTTGTTGGAGCGCATAAGGTATTTCACGAAATGCCGCGATGGAGCCTAACTTCTTGGAACTCAATGGTAATTCTCTATGGTAACTCTGGCGAGTTTGACTCCGCCGAGGGCTTTGTTTCTATGATGCCTCAGAGGGACATAGTGACGTGGACAGTGCTGCTGGCGGCATATGCCCAAGCTGGGCGTACGGAATGCGCCAGGCGCGTGTATGAGTTTATGCCCGAGCACAATGTGGTCAGCTGGAACGCGATGATCCAAGCGTACGGACTTAATGGATCCTTAGAGAACGCCAGGAGCTTGTTTCACGACACAATGCGAGACAAGGACATTGTCTCTTTCACTTCTATGATCCAAGCTTACGCGCAGAACAACGATCTCGAGGCCGCCGTACGAACGTTTGAGAGAATGCCGTTCTGGGACGTTGTCGCCTGGACGACCATGATCACCGTTTACGCTCAGTATGGAGATTTGGAGTCGGCAATAGACGTGTTTAACTCGATGCCACAGAGGAACTTAGTGACTTGGACGGCTATGATCCAAGCTTATTGCTCCAGAGGCCATTTGGAGGAGGCCAAGAGTTTGATGGACAAGCTTCCAGTGTGGAGCATCACACTGGGTAATGTTTTGCTGCAAGCATATGCCCAGAATGGTTATACAGAGCTCACAAGACAAGTCTTTGATGCCATGCCCAAAAAGGATATAGTCACCTGGACGAGCATGCTGTCGGCTCACGCTCAAAACATGGAGCTCTTGGAAGCCGAGAAGCTCTTCTCTGAGATGCCGGAGTGGAGCTCCACAGTTTGGAACGCGTTGCTGGCCGCTTATGCTCGCAATGGAAAGCTGGAAAAAGTGAGAAGAACGTTTGAGATGGTACCGGAGAAGGAGATTGCTACCTGGAGTGCGGCTATCTCGGCTTGCGCGCACTTGGGCGATGGAAGACAAGCGATCGAGCTGTTCAAGAGGGTCGAGAACGAAGGCCTCCGAGTGACCGAGGTGTCGGTGACGAGCGCGTTGGTGGCTTGTAGGCACCTTGGTTTGCTCGAGGAAAGCTGCAAGTACTTCGTTTCGATGCTGTATGACCGTGACATAGTGGCTGGCAGCGAGCACTACTGCTCCATGGTTGACATACTTGGTCGCTTGGGAGAACTCGAGAAGGCTGAGGACTTGATCGAAAACATGCCGTTTGAGCCTGTTGCGAGTGCCTGGGGGAGCCTCCTTGCATCGTGCAGGACTCATTGTGACGTAGAGCGTGCTAAAACAGCGGCCAAGAATCTCTCCAAGTTGAATCCTAAAAACGCTGCAGCGCTTCTGATGTTGAAGAACATCCAGTTCGAGTGAAACAAGAAAACACTTATCTCACTGACTTTGAAGGGTTTCGAGTGTAGCATCTAGCTTCTGGCCAAGTGTAGTGATCCAGATCTGTACAGCAAACACTGAGAGTAAAAAATGCATCGATTGTTTTTCTACCTGGTCGAGAGGAGAGAAGCCTCGGATAGTATCGCCCGCCAGTATCAAAACACCAGAGTCTCCCAAAGGTTGGATTATGACAGACTGAAACCAAGTGCTGCATTTCAATCGCCTGCTAGAAAAGTTGCGTACCTGGGTGTTTTGAGGCAGGAAAGGGAGTTCATAGCGACCCGGGTACAAAGAAAGGTTGGCCAAATATGATTCTAGTCAAAACTTTGGTGAGAAAAACGAATGACACAGTTTCGCATCTGAAACTCACGTTTACCACTGGCTAGAGCAGCCGTGCATAAAGTTCCTCTCATGACACTGAGCCCATCGATTTTGTAGGCGTCACCTTCCTGATCCGCAGCTATTCCCGCTTGAAAGACGCATCGCATCTTATATAACACAACAAAAGACTTGCAGCAAGTAGTCTTGCTCATTGTCTCCCAGGCCCTGCCAAACGCACTCGCTAGTCAAGAAACAAATCGCGAAGAAACAAAAATGTACCATACAAGCTCCGCTTTCGCTTCTTCAGACGATAAATACACCCTCATGCATTGTACTCCTTCCAACTCTACCTGAAAGGACATAGATGATGAAACACTCTTTTGCAGTGGAATGACTTCTTACAGGCTTGAAGCGTCTTGGTTGAATAGAGCTCCAGACGAGTCCAGCGAGAAGCACAGTAGCAGCCAGGGCAACCACTAAAACATCCGCCCTCGATTGAGAACTGTTGTCCAGGACATTTCTCAGAGCTTTAGAAGACAAGTAACGTCTTACCTGCTTGCATCTGCGACGAGAGGAACACCAGAAAGTGTTCGATTCAAGAATACGAATCCAAACGAGCCAACTCCAATCGTCACAGGTACGGCTCGCACGAATGCCAAGTTTCTGGAAAACCAATCCTCGCTAGTTTCAAAGCCACCGCCTCGTTTTTGGAAAGAACACCTGGTCTGGAACATAAAGTCATGAAGAACAATAGAAAAACAAATAAGAAGCTCACCTGAGAGTTTCTGAACGGCGTTCTGGAAACAGCAAAGCGAGATAGAGAACCACATTTGCTACGAACGAAGAACACTGCATTTGCCATGGCCATCTCAATTGGAGAACCCTATCTTAGTTCTATTAAGCATAACCGGTGTCTAGAAATTCACTCCACCCATAGCAAGGATCCTGCAATAAGTATATTGCTTGGAAGAGGCCCAGGGCAGGGAGCAACATACGTAAGTTTCTTCCTGTAAGAAAAAGTAAGCAAAAATTGAAATAAGAAGAAGAGCTTTACCTGTTAAGATCTACTTCAGTGACGTAGACAAATCCGGCAACGTTACTGCAAGCAAACACCGGTGAGCAATTGATTCACAAACAAAAACACGATCATACCATGCAAGGACTTGATCTGGATCTTTGCTGTAGGAAACTCCAAGTACTGCGTGGACAAGGTCTCGGTTAATGCTAACAGGGACAACTCTGGTAGGATCCGCGGTAGGCTCGGCACCGATGGGAAGAGCGGAACGAGGAGCCTGAGGCCCGCCACCAATGCGGACGACTTGGATGTCTTGAAAGTTCACAACGGAGGCATGAGGTGATAGTTCATTCCATCGACCATAGAAGTAGTTCTGCAAAACCAAAAAAACAAGTAATCCGTTTCCAAGGAGGAGGAAAAATAAATAAAACCTTTGTTCGCGTGAAACGACTTTGCTGCCTGTACTTCTGGTTGCGAGCCACCACACCACCGGACTTTTGAAGCTTGACAACATCTACGCCAGGCTTTAATCTCAAATAATCATGCAGCATACTGTACACTTTCTCCTGCAAAAAGAGGAGTGTCACAATGACAATAAAGCATGAACTAGATCATCGTACCTGGCCCAAAACCAAAATGACATTAGCATTTAATGCCTCGATGGAATGTAGAAGCAGCTGAATAGAAAGGAAAAACTCAGTCATAGCTCTTTGAGGATGAAAACACAACCTCATAACCAACACCATCGACCCAGCCCATGGTGTTGATAACCATTCCAGAAGAGCGAGTTGCTATGTTCGATGCAAACTGTAGATCCAGTTGATGCGCGAGTTCTTTCACCAGAATTTTATACAATTCAGTGTTTATGCTGGACGAGAAAAGTAGCTTGTCGGTGCTCACACCATTTGCAACTGAAAAAACTTCAAAGTACCTGGGAGTGGTGTGACCATAAAAGTAAACAAGAGGGACATCCAGAATTATCCCTTCCACGGGATCAACAGGCGTCTCGACGGGAGTTGCAGCGATTGCTCCCGAGAGCGTGATAGATCCTTGACCAATATCGAGGTCGACGTACATTGGTTTCCATTGCTGACGAGCAGCCCAGCCAAGGAGCATCTTTGTAAGACTGCTCTTTCCAGAATCAGTCGGGCCGACAACCATCACTCTCGGTCCCTGTTTGTTTCCGATTGCTAAAACGTATTCGGAAAAGAACGAAGAAGAAGAAAAGTTCTTGCTTCTTACCTGCGTGAGTGGATTTGGAATCTCGCCTGGAGCGTTGTGAAGAGAAATTGCTGCTTCGCGAGCTCTCCTGCGCCTGTTTTCAAGCACCGCATGAACATTGACGTAGCTCACCATCGGTGTCTGAAAGAAAAAAAAAATCAGCACTATAGAAGAAGAAATAGAGATTAATTTACCTCATCAGCGACATAGGCAACCTCTGATACGCCATCGAGCTCCAGAAGCGCACCACCCCACGTAAAAACCTGCTCAAACATCCCTCCTTACTTACTGAAAGAAGAATAGACGAGAAACTCACAGCAAATTTTTGTGAGGGAGAGAAAGTGAGCCAGTACTGTGGAGGGAGCTCGGTGCCGAAAATCTCCGCCGTGCCAGCCACGAGCTGCATCCTGAGCGGCCCATCGACGCCTACCTCGACGCGCAGCTCGCTCTCCTTGCGGAGCTCAAATCTCCGCACCGCATCGCCAGGCGCGAGATTGCCATCGGAAGACATCACTAGAACCCTAAGCTTTTCAAAATTTAGGGCTCCTCAACTTGGGCTATGGCGGGAAAAGTTGGGCAGTTAACGTGCTACCAATTTCAACAAGATACTAATGCAGAGGTGGAACCATCAAGCAATGGGGTCTTTGCAGCAACTCTTTTTGACTCTCTTTAGCAAATCTAGAAATTTTTCTTCATAGAATATACATAACTGTGCAAGCTCCAGCTATCAGGGGTTTATTGGGTAAATTCATAGTTCTAACCATCCAAGCTAGTATGCCTAGCTAACTACTCAAGCAAATCATATCAATGTACTAAATTTCTAAACAACTAGCAAAAATATTTTTTTGTGCTGTGTAGCAATTTAAAACATATTAATAATATAATAAAATTTAATAAGTGATGATTAGTGGTTTTAGTTTGCTTAAGCAAACCTGAATGTATCTAGAATATATTTAAATATTTTAGGATATTCTACCATCTAATGGTTGTTTATCATTTAGATTAATCTTGTATTTATAATTTATAAACTTGCTTAAACACTTTCTAGTATATTCATTTTTATTCTACCAAGATTAATCTTGTGTTTATAAATTATAAACATGCTTATAATTATAGATTTTTATTTGATCATATGGATTAATAAGTAGGAATATCATACTATTATGCAAACCAAGCATTGGTGCATGCAACACATAGCAAATTTTTATTGTTATGACTACCAAATATTATAAACATATAATAATATATATATAATTAAATAAAAACTAAAAAACTATAATATAATTTCTTTTTAGATTGGTATTCAAAATATTTGTGAGAATTGATCCAAGCATGTGATTGCCAAATATTATCTTGCTCATCACATTTTAAATTAAGTGCTAATGGCTGAAACTATCAGTAAAGACCAAGGTCTAGCTTTTGAGCTTCCCATCATATTTGGTCCAAAACTAAAGAAGGATGATCTGCAAAACTGTCTCAATGATGAGGAGATTTTTGATCCACAACACACGTTTCTAAGTTTGTAGTAGTTTGTAGGAGGGGCGTGGATGTGGTTCACCAAAGTTCATCTAAAATAGTAGTATTAAACCTTTGTCCAAGATGTTGGTGTTACCACAGTAGAAATGCAAAGCCATGTCTAGAACTTACAAAGAAAATAAGATTTGTCAACTTGCTAGAAACAATAAACTTCCAATTAAGTGTTCATCTTTTTTCATGTTTATCCGAAAATACAGCAACATTTTCATGCTTTCATAGCAAGTTTCAAAGCTTTCCTGCACAGACCCTTGGTCTGTCACTAAAGTAGCGAGTGAAAGAGGCATTATCGAGCAGTTTTTTCTTGTGAGTTTTCGACAGCCAGATGTGTACGTCGGTGCCCCTGCTCCGATCGATCTCAACTCTTGGGCTGGAGCTGGAAACAGGGCTACAGACGAAGGCCACATAGCAGAAGGAAGAAGCTGAGCTAATGCACCGCCGCATCCAAAATCAATGGCATAGAATGAAAACCTCCTCAGAGATGTGGAGGCCAAACCTCGCTTCCAGTGCAGCGTCGGTAGCAGTGCGGCATGGATTAGCTTGGCAGCGAAGCGCTTGTCACTCGCGACTTCTCCCGCGCTGGCAGCGTATGCCTGGCATGGAACGAACGCATTGCCAAAGTAGTCTTCCGGGATCTGGGGCGCAAATCTGCCTTTTCTTCGCAAGTTGATAGGCAGCATGTAGGAAGTATCAAGATGCCTGGTAAAGGCTTTTGCTGTGGTTATAGACGACCACAGCAATGCCGAGACCGCCTCAAAGGTGGTGGCTCTCCCCTAGCCGAACTTGGTGGAGCTTTCGATCTCTCGGACGCCTCGATGGCCTCTTTGCCCATCCGCAGCATCATATACTCGTCAGGCTGTGCGTTTTCCACGAGGAAAGGCACCTGGGGAGAGCAGCGAACTTGCGAAGTCCTGGCGTTGATCGTCGCGACCCACGGTGGATCTCACTCCATCTCGTGAGAAATTTGACGAGGCTGTACCCGTCCATGATCACGTGTAGAAAGCGGAAGCCAATGGCCACTCCTCCACAGCCAAACGTTGTCACCTGGACTTGCATCAATGGCATCTGGGAGAGATCAGCATGCCCACCGCAGCCATAAAGCGAGAAATCGACCGAAAATGGGCACTGCCTGATGTCCGACCACCCGTTGAGCCTCGCATCGCTCCCGGATTCATGAAGCTCACGCCTTGGGAGTTGACATTCACCTCGAGCTTGGAAGATCCCTTGCCGTGGCAAATCCGGCCAGCGAGAACAGGGAACTCGGCCAGTGCTTTGGACAGGGACGACTTAAGGCCTTGGTGGGGCTCTCGCTCGCCATGCGGAAGAAGAGCACAAACTCAAGATAGTCTGGCCTGGGGCTGCAATTGATGAGGTCGAGATTGGTGAGCTCATAGTTGCAGCCAGGGGACGATGAGATCACTGGAGTTACCAAGTGAATTTGGGACACGATAGGCACATCCATCATTCACAACAATGCAAATTGGGCTTGCGTTGGCTTCTTGATTGAGTCAATTGTACGTGTGAGTCCCTCAACCTTTTACAGTATTTTGTCACCTTTTGTCAGAGTTTTCAATAAATTGCTATGCATTACATGTAGTAATGCTTGGTTTGCTTAATGGTAATTTTATTATTATTAATTAATATGATTGATCAAATAAAGGTTATAATTATAAGCATGTATATAATTTATAAATACAAGATTAATCTTATTGCATATCAACCATTAGATGATAGAATAAAAAAGAATATATTAGAAAGGGTTTAAAATTATTTATAAATTATAAACATGTTTATAAATTATAAATATAAGATTAATCTAAATGAATAACAACAGTTAGATGGTAAAATATCTTAGAATATTCAAGCATATTTTAGGTATATTCACTACCATTTCTAAGTAAGCCAAAAATAGTTAGACTACCTTTAAGTCCACATCTTTGCTTAAATACTATTAAAATTATTAATTTAAACTTCAAACTCTTGAGATTATATTTTTTTTATAAATGTTTACATGTTAATTTTGATTATGTAGATTTAGTTTAATCCGTACTTATTTTATTAGCCAAAATTGAACATCCACTTCAAGTGAATTGGTTATAAATTTCTTCATGATCTAAATTATCCATTTGGCTGGTGGAGGAATAGCAGCTTATCAAGCTCAAGTGCTTCTCGTTGTCCTAGAGATAGTTTTGAGAGCAAATTCTTCTTGGTCATCAGGTTTCTTAGAGAGCCCAGCAATGATAACATTTGGAATGCTCCAGAATAACACAGGACAATCTACTACTACTAGCCAATGGGATCCATCTCTTTATCGATTACTATCTCCTCTCGTCCATCCAGATGGCAGCCAATGGATGATTGTTCTCCTGGATATGGTGGCAATGGCTGACTGTGGCAATGGTTCGGCGATGCGCAGCCTCTGGTATGTGACATTCTACTTGAGTTTAGAGCTCCCAAGGACTTATGTTCTTGTCCAAAAAGAACTTCGACTTGGCTATCATCTGCAAACTTGGGCAATGGTGTGGAGCAGTTAGAGACATGCCTTGCATAGGATTGGAGCTTGTTTTTTGGTAGCACGATGCCAGAATGGGACTTGATCAAGATTACAATTCCAGAACAAACCATACGAGGGGTGCAAGTAAGCTCGCTTAATTGATGGCAACATCAAATTTAAATAACCAAAAAGAAGAAGGCATAAGACAAGTCACTAACGTGGTAAACTATAATGAATTGGCAGATGACACTTGTCCGGAGACTAGCCAATACGCAATTCACTAGGAATAATTCTTAGAAGAAGCTGCTTTACACATTTGCCGTGCTTACAAAATGAGGAAGAGTTTTGTATCAAATTTGTGTATTCTGCCTCTGCTTTGGAATTCAGGGGTATTGTGTTGCGAAGTTTGCAATTTCCTAGAGCTCAATGCCACCACCGTAGCTTTATCATGTGGAGACAAGGAGTTTCTCTTTGATCTTAAACAACACATGAGTAATGTGGATGGGATTCTGAAATGTCCTGGTGGAAATTTTCAGAGTTCTTGTGCTTTCAAAGGTTACAAAGTTGAGATCGAGAACCACGCTCCTAGGCTTTATTACACTGCTCACTGTAAAAACGAAATGGACACCTCGGTGAAGACTAAGCTTGGCTTGAAGAAATGCTCTGGAGATTTAGAAGTTTGTATCTAGTCTTAAAACCTCTCACTTTCTTAATTTTTTTACAAATGCAAGCTGCTGCTCTTCACAAGTTCTGTTGGAAGACTTGTTCGAACCAAATTATGTGAGTTTGGATGTCATGGAAAACATAAATTTTGTTCTACGAGCTTTCAAGAACTCTAAAGTTTCTTACGATTTCTATCTCCCTTGGAGAGATTCCATGAGCTGGGTGACTTGCTCCACTTGTTCGGGGCTCCGGCACGCCGAGAAGAGCACCCTCGCGGTCACAGCGTCGGCTCTACACCCGGACTCGAGCATCTTCTTGAGGATACTCGTGCATTTCCTGTAGAGCTTCTTCTTGGCGTAGCCTCCCATCAAGGCCGTCCAAGTCGTGGCGTCCGGAACGAGCTTGAGCCTCGCCAGTCCCTGGAAGAGCTCCTCCGCCCTGGGAATGAATCCCGCCTGAGCGTAAACTTGGATCAGCGTGTTGTAGGTACCAATGTCTGGCTTGGTTTGCTTGGACGACGATTTCACCATCTTTGCGAGGAGAGCTTCCATGTCCTCGTGCCTGCCGGAAACTCCATAGGCGTTGATGAGAGAGTTGTAGATCAGAGTGTCCGGCTTTGTTCCATCCCTCTCCATGGCGGAGACGAGCTCCTCGGCCTCTTCGACCCTCCCGGCTCTTGCATAGGCGCTCAGGAGGAGCATGTTGGACTTGAGGTTTGGAGAAAAGCCGGCGCTTTGCATGGACTTGAAAATCTTCTCGGCATCTGCAATAGAGGCTCTCTTAGCAAAACTTGGAAGTGGTCGAAATGGACTTTCGAAAGATTTTACCTTCATATAGCCCAGCTCGTCCATAGGCATTGATAAGAATGTTGTGAGAGACCGTGTCCGGGAAGCAGCCATTTCTTTGCATTGTCTGGAAAATCTCGAGTGCCCCGGCCGGAGAACCTCCTTGGCTTAAAAAACAGCATTTTTCAAGGAAACAAAAATGGAAGGTTTCTACTATACCTGTACGCTTCCATCAACGCGTTGTAGGCGTAGTGGTCGGGCTTGTAGTCGAACTCCTGCAGCTTGTCGAAGTATCTCTCGGCTTCTCGGTACAGCCCTTGTCTCGCAAAAGCGTTCATGAGAGCAGTGAATGTACAAATATTTGGAGGACACATAGCGCGCCTCATGCTTCTGTAAAGCATCTCCGCCTTGGAAGGCTCCCCTGCCTGATCATAGAGATATTAAAAACTTACGTTCCAAGATCTCTGTGAAGTTTAAACACTACCTTGCCATAGATGACAATCATCCGGTTGTAAGTGTCAATGTTTGGCTCGCACTCGTACTTCTCCAGGTCCCGGAACAAAGCTTCGGCCCTCCTGTATTCTTTCGCGTCTTCTAAAACGTGGAGAAAGGTGTTGCATGCCAGCGGCCCTGAAACAAAAGCCTGAGTAAAACTTAGTTCCCCCAACAGCGCAGAACAAAGGTTGTAGGCGTTACCAGGACTGTATCCCCGCTTTTGCATTTGGACGAAGAGTTCCTCGGCCTTTTCGAATGAGCCCGCAAGCCTGTAGCCATTTATCAGGACGCCGAAAGTTTCCTCGTTCGGAACACAGAGAGCCTCTTGCATCCGGTTGAAAGTCTTCTCAGCATCTTCTATGTTCAAGCTTTTCCCGTAAGCGTCAATCAAAAGATTGTAACAGCCGAGGTCTGGCCGAAAAGTGGTGCCTTGGAGCACCCACTCACACATCTGAAGAAGAAAAAAACGAAAGTTTCATGAAAGTTGCAATGAAGGAACACTTACAAACCTGTGTAACACGCGGCCAGTCTTTGTAGTTCCAGAAGTGAACGACCACACTCATGAAATTATCCCAAGTATCGTGACCTCTAGGCAGGTTGTCGAGTGCGTTCCAAATAGCCGTGGCGTCCTCTTGCATTCGTAGAAACTGTGCCAAAGAACTCGCGGCTGGGCTGAGAACGATGAGCTCAATCTCGGTAAAGTTCCGTCCTGTCTCGAGCCATGCCTTTCCATGTCTGGTACCTATACAAAAACATGAGATGCACAGTCCCGACATGGAAAACACGAAGCTCAAACCTTTCCTCCTCTTGGAGACTTTCTTATCCAGAAGGGGATTCTCAACCCGACGAAAGACCGGCTTGTTCTTCACTGGCTGGAGCTTGTCACGCTCAAAGATCTTCGACGCACGGGGTATCAATCGCTTCAGACAAGAATTGGAGCTCACATTCTCAAACCCAACTCTGAAAAATCTGCCTATGAGACTGCAATACAAAGGCACAAAATTAGCGAAGAAGCAAAAGTAGAGAGCCACAATACCATGAATCCTGCGGCTGTATTGGAGCTAGAATCGACATCCCAGTGTCACGCGTGCGCCACCATGTTCGTCACTAAGCCCTAGAAAATGGGAAAAAGGCATTGTTTTTTTTTTTCTTTCAAATCGAAATAGCATATACCCTTTTTTAAGGAAGTAAGCGATAAGTATATTCCTTAGTTTGCAATTCTTTTCCCTTTTTTTCAATGTTCTTTGGTTTTTATTTTTCTGGCAAGCTTGATGCTGCTGCAGAGGCAATCAGGAAAAGAATCTCTTGACTGTAAAATCGTGCGTGTTTCTCGCACCACCTTGGTGTCTCCACTTATGAAACAAGCCTTGATAAAGGACGTGTAGCAGATTGTATCAAGATGAAAACCATGCTTTTGCATATCGTTTGCTTTGCCCACCTACAAAGGCAACAGAGTAAGAAATCAAACTATCAAAGGGGATTCGTTTACCCGTCAAGCATAGTGCAGTACGTGATTTGATTATGTTTCAGTCCTGCATCAGTAATCTGCTGAAACACTTCGGCTGCACCATGCATGGCACCAGAGTTACAGCATGCCTTGAGTAGCGCACCATAGGCAACAATGTCGATCGCTAGATTTTCCTTCTTCATCCTTTGAAACACTCCAAAAGCCTTCTCGACATCGCCAGTTCGTGCATAGCCCTCTGTAAGAGCCGTGTAGATTCGTTCGCTCGGAACAACCCCGTTCGCTAGCATTTCATTTAGCATCAGACGCGCATTTTCCATCTGCCATGAAACGTAAATCGAGAAAGGAAGAAGAAACGTACACTTTGTTACCTGTCGCGCTTTCGCAAGGCCGCTGAGTAAGGAGTTGTAAGAAACAACCCCAGGTCTCAGGCCTGCCGTTTTAATCCTGTCGAAAACTTCCAATGCCTTTTGGATATTTCCCCCTTTCACATATCCATCGAGTATCGAGGTGTATGTTTCGATAGTTGGAAGAAGTCGGTTGGCTTCGATGTTTTCCAAAACACCAAGAGCTTTGTCCATGCGTCCAGCTTTACAGAACGCGTGAACCAGGATGTTGTATATCACAATGTCTGGCTTAAGCCCGGCCGAAACCATATCTTCCCAGACTTTGAACGCAGCTGTAAAATCACCACCACGAGCGTAGCCGTCCATTATCATAGCATAGATCATCTTGTTGGGAGAAACTCCATGCTTATCCATTTCCTCCAAAATATCAAGAGCCTTAGCCATGTTTCCAGCCTGCTACAGAGCGCGTCAGCAACGTAAAGTATTC